CCACCTCTGTTGGGAATATTTCTCATATAGGGGATATTAGTCATTTCTTCTATTGCGCTCTGTATAGGAGCTTTCCGCTCTCTAAGAGGCTGTGGTTGGTGCACGGAAGACCCCAGGTAAGTTGTTCATAAAGGGTTTGACTGCTTACACAGGGGGTACCCTGCAAGGGTACCATAACCACTACAAAGTACTGTAGAGGTTATGGTGTTTGGAATTACCCCGCAGACAGTGCCATTGCCATTTAACTGCTGACCCCCCTATCCCGCCCGTGATGTCTGTCTCTTCGTATTCTCTGATTACACTGTATTCCAGTAGCTGCCCAGTTACATTGTCTCTATGTCTGAGCACGTCTGTAACTGTATCAGGGTTACTTACTAAGATGAGAATTCAACGTAAATAGCCAAAGATCAGAGCAGCCAATCTGAAAGTGTAGCTGACTTAGAAATGTTTTCTGTTTTGGCTATTTTGATCTTAAATTGGAAATTTACTTTAAATTCTCACTTTAGTGGATAATGCTGTAAATATAGAATATATAAGGACATATATAAAGGGAGGCAATGCTTTCCTACGGCGAAGGACTAATGTGCGCACTGCGCAGGCCGCGCATGAGGTTCCCCCTCGGTGCTAACGTCAGAGGAGACAAAAACAGCCCTCACCGCAGGAATAAGAAGCGTGTAAACAGGGTTTTTAAAGCTTTGTGTTCCTAAAACTAAAGTGTCCCTTTAACCCCAATTAAAGGCTATAACTCTGTTCAAAAAACATGGTTAGAGATGCCACGAAGTAGGTGGCAGTGCCTTAACCGTATATGTGTTGTAAAGGCCACTAGGACCTCTTCCATCCTTGTCAAGGGGAGTGCTAACCTTCTCTCCTTTCATACAACACAAAGTTTAAACGAAACATCAGCTGTATATATGTCTTCTATATCAGATATATTTTTAAATTGTAGTGAGCACACAACCTTTACTACGTGAAAGTAGGCATTCACTAAATTAGTTTATATTGTCAGCTTGTATGTCCTATGCTTTAATTTTTACTGAAAAGCACAAATATATGCCAAATTCTCACATTTTTAAAACAGAATTAATTTATGCACAAGCTCGACCAATCACATCACAGGGGGCTGGGCGTACGATCGTTGACGTAATGGCTGAGCATCCGCATTTGACGAGCAAACAGGGGCCATCTTGTGAGTGGCGCAATGCGTGACCGTTAGTGTGGCTGAAACGGTCCCTCCATGTTGTGAATGGCATAGTCACAAAGAGGATCTAGTGTGACCTCTAGTGGCTGAAGTTGGAAATCACAGGCAAAACACTGGATAATGAATACATTATATTTATTATGAATTTACTGTATAACTACTCACTATGTGCATATCAGTGATGGTTTTATGGGCTACATTTCAGAAAGACTGGCTTAACATTATTTAGAGTGTATTTCACAAACTAGCCATTGGTGTATGCTTTATTTTTCATTAAAAGATACTGCTGCCTGATAATATAGTATCATTGTTTCTACAAAGAAACGCCCTCTCCCTCTAGAATGTAAGCTCCTTGCGCAGGGTCCTCTACCGCTCTGTTCCTGTGCCTCCATTTGTCTGGTTACAATCACCTGTCTGTTAGTCCACCCATTGTACAGTGCTACGGAATTTGCTGGCGCTATCTAAATAATAATAAAATAATACTAATTACAAACGTAATTTAAAAGAGTTTTATAACATGACACCGATTATTGAAACTAATATATATTGGCATTCATTAACTACGTCTGGTAATCACTGGGGGTGACCCAAGGCCAGATTTAAAACTCAGGGGCCTGTAGACACAAAGTTCTAAATCGCCCACCTACACCGAAAATATCCAGTTGCTTGTTGTCAAAATGTGGCCTATTTTGTGTTTGTGCACAGTACAGATTAATTAAAATACTGTGTAAGTGGGGAGCTTAGTCCTTATTGTCTGACTGAGTAGGTGGAAATCCAAGAGGACTTTTGATAAGGGAGTTGGATGGTTGACTAGGAGGTTTGCTGGGAGGCTAGCAGTATGGCGGATTTGCTAAGGGAAGATGGCAAGCTAGTTCAGCATGTGCGACTGGCTAGAAAGAAGAGAGTAGCTAGGAGGTAGAGAACAATGGTGTCTAGAGTGGATCAGAAGAGAAAGGATAATGGATGACTAGGAGAAAGTCATGTTGGCCAGGAGAGAGGATCGGTGGTTCTAAGAGGTGGATCATGTCTTGATGACAAGTAGGAAGGCTTGAGAAGAGATGAAAGGTGGTTGCTACGTGTGGATGTTGGCTTGTAGTGAGGCAGACTACCTTTAGACAGGTACCTAGAAGAAGGTTGGTAAGGAGAGTAAGAGGGTGCTCAGATAGGAGGAGGGAGACAGGACATAGTAATGGAAGACTGGTAGATGTGAGTGGGTAACGGGTAGTGGATGCACTTTGGGGTAACGAGTTGAAGAGGCTTTGACTTCATGTCCTTATGTAATTATTCTGGAGTGAGAACTAAGAGGCCCCCAGGCTTCATGTTTAGCTGAGGACCTACAAAGTATCTTGATCCAGTTCAAAATGAGTCTCTCTGGTTACCCTAGTAGAATCCAATGGGAATCCAACCTTCTAGTCATGGGGGGAGGGTATTGTTTTTAACCTTGCTTTGCCTGGTGAAGGCACTTCATGCAACACACATGCAGGGGCTGCCAAGAGGTTCATGGCCATTTGTGCAAACAGCAAATTTTCTCTAATATCCCCTTGTTTCTAACAGAAGACATGACTTTAGCCTAGACACTAAGACATCTGCATACTATGCCAGCTATCTAATGACTGGTCATGCTTGTGCAGATGTGTTAAAGGAACTTATTGTCCAAAATATTGAGACAGCATTAAATCGAGGCAGGGGTGGCCTTAAACCAACATTAATTTATCCAAATTGACTTGTGGATATGAAATTCACTAGCTGCTCTAGAACATCTTAGGGCATGGGTCTGCCGCTCACCATTCTGCTTCCCACAATCATCACTCTTTATCATGTGTTACTTGTACAAATGTGATGATTGCGGATGAAGCAATGGGTATCACAGCCTAAGTTGGCATTTTTCTTCTCCAGTCTGGCAGCGAGTGGGGTTAAAACATCAGGATGGCTATAGTTATCCTCAGCGTACTGATATCTCTCTCTCTTTCCTCCGGAGCTTATAGACTGGCCGCATTTAGCTTCAGAGAATTAGAGGCTAATGCAAATCTTTTTCAGGGATAACTGAATACTGCAGCAGATTAAAAATTGGCTTAAGGCAGAAGGCAATGGATCTTTGTGCACAGTTGCAAAACCGTAAGAAGGATTTGCAAGTGGAGATCTTCTTAAAGTACAGCCTCATTTAGCAGCATTTTGTTATGGAATCAATATGAAGATTCTCTATATAATTAATGAACACTACCGAGGTTTATCGGTTACACTGTAGTCTGTATATCCAATCCGTTTAATGGGCATCTTACAAATTATTTACACTCATTTGTAGGGGGTGTATAAGACATAAGACACATTTACACCCCCATTAAAACTAATAAGATTAGCTTATGGCTGCCATTCAAAGTTTAACCATAAGCACTCCCATGATATAATTGCCGCAGACCACGAAGACTGATATCGAGAGGGTGAGCGAGGTCAACAGGCGTGTATGTCTGTGACTATATCAGCATCATGGACAATATGGCTGCCTGCAAAGGGAACGTGTCACATTGTTGCGAATGATTGCCCAGAAAAGTAGTCAATCAGGGCTGCGCATGCACCAGGTGCCCAAGTGCTGCTGTAGCGCTCGTCTATGGGCTTAAATGCCCTGAACTGCATTGTAAGTGCTTGTACTTTCCCTCTGTCCTCTCCACGCCAGGTGACAAAGGCAATCTCTCTGGTGACGAGGATGACGAAGGAAAAACCATGTGACTTGAGAGGTCTGTTACCATCCAAGATTGGGCGACTGAACAGATAAAACAGAATTAAAATTTGGCTATAGCTGCTGGGTTAACCTGTTATTTGTTATTCGCCTGCAGCCTGAAGCCATTCTTCTAAAACTTAGACTAGCAGGAGGTGTGTTTGGATCTCTTTAGCAGAATACTGCAATCACAAGGTCGTAAAACTATATACCGGTAGATTTCTTTAAATTCCTTTACTGGTTTAGCCCACACTACATCTACCATCACTAACGTTCAGTGAAGTATGTGGGCTGTTTAACGTTACATTCATGTTTTCCACAATCTACTTTTTCTATTTTATTTTCCTTTTTTTGGGAAATGTCCCTCCAATCGAATAGTTATTTCAACGTATACATCGCTTTAACATAAATTTTACAAGGTCTGCTTCTCATGCAAAATTGCTCAAAGTATTGATATTGTCTAGTTTTTACAAACTTCAGTAAGTTATAATTTTTTTTCGTAATCTGCTGTTATTTAAATAAGAGAAAATGAATACGAATAAAACAGTAATCAGAATTATTCACTAACGTGTTTAGTCAGGAATTCATAGTGAATTCCAGTAAATTTCAAATTTCAGGCCAAAATTCTCAAAGTGGAAATATTTCTCAAGTTAGACTATTTTGGCCTTTAAATTTAACTTCCCATAGAATCATTTAGTGAATAGCTCTGTTCCATCTTCATTTAATGTTGCGTGATTAGGCCAATTTATCATTGATACGTATGTTAATAAGATGTCTTAAGGCTACATTAACACCATTGCCAGAATATATATTTTTTTATAAATGTGCGTCTCCTTTTACTGAATAGACCGTCTTCTCACCCAGGTTCAACCTCATTGCTAGATCCGTGCAGACAAATGTATAGTATGATTAAATAAAAAAAAGAGACAGTTGGAGGGGATTACATCATCTGAGTAAATATTACTGTGAAAGCCGCAAGGACATACAAATGAAAAAAAAATACTTCAACTTAAAACCAAACCCTCCTTAATCTCTCTGAACCAAGAGAGAGATTGATTGAGTCTTAAATCTTCATTAGACGATGGACTCTGTATTCATTGCAATACACAGGGCTTATTACTGGGGTGTCTACGTGAACATCAGACCAGTATAGATCGGAATTGTCTACCCTTCAAAACCAGCGCTTTTAATGACTATCTCGTCTCCCCATTGATAGTGTTGGTCACTTATTGCATGCTGCAACAACAGCCAACGAGTCATAACTCCAGGAAGTGTTACTGCTGGATTTTAATATTTTTTGTTAGCCCAATGGATTTACCCCTTACTTTGCTTCTAACATTTATTTTTGGCTTCTAAATATTTCCTGGATTCTACAAATAGCTCTCGGCCACTGATTTCTTGCAATCGGAGCTGTGGTTAGTGACGTCTGCAGAATCAGAACTATTTTTTATTTTTTAATTCCCAAAACTAAGACGGACTTTTCGAACACCTGTTTACCATTTTCAGATTCGATATCTGAAATATATATTTATAAGCGGGAAATAAAAACCTGGAAATAAAAATTTATTTTTCTAAAGATTACATTCTGCCAGTAGACATAATCCACATGTCTTTTTAAGAAGGTTTATTTGACCTTCACGCAAATCCTGATTTGGCTGAATGATGAACACAATGCTATGCAGAGAAAGGGACAAAAGCTGTTTGTCTTCAGAATAGCAACCTTTTCCCCCAGATATTACGGACGTTTAATAAATAAATAAACACATGGGACCCCCTCTGTCTACATCTATCATCTTGCTTTGCTTGTCTGTAGTCTTCTCCTCTGGGCTAGGTAAGTAACCAATTTGAAATTGTAACTTACAAGGATGTTCACTGTTATTAATTTTCTTGTTTGTGTACTTGAAGTCAGGAGAATTATATAGAATGTAAATTACAAAATTTTGTCTTCCAAGGATTTTTTTTTTTGTGTGAGATCTGATGTAGTCAGATGTGTTCATTATTGTAGGAAGGTTTATATAAAACATATTTATTGTAGAAATTTTAATGTTCGTTCTTTCATAAACGTTCCTCTGAGAAATGTAACAACAAATGTGCTTATTCGCAGAGACGTTGAAAGCCTGGTTTCCATTAAAATAGTAGTTTTTAAAACGTCACTCATATAAAGAGTGAGTTTAATATGTAGCGAGTGACAAAGCTGACACTAAACAGGGAATTGTCAGAAATTAACCAGGAAATAGCAAATTTTGAGTTACAGTAGATGAGTCTAAAAAATAGCCGAATTAGAGATTTTTTTCCCAAGTCCAGCTATTGTGTAAAATTTACAATTCTCTGATGAATTGTCTGCTAATTCTCGATTCACTAAATAACCGTGACCATGTTTAATATGTTGTGTGTTGATACAATGGACACCGTTTGGCTACTGATATTGAAAGTCTCTGCTGTGCGGACGCTGATTATGTTTGACATAGTTATGGCGAATTATGAAATTCATTAGATGGATGAATGGATGGATAGATGGACAGGCAGACAGACAGACAGGTGGATGGATGGACGAACAGATGGACAGATGGACTATTGTATGGATAGACATACAGACAAATAGATAGTTGTAATCAATTAAATGACAATATTTAGTATATAATGACCAAGCTACGACTATAAATGAGTTGGAATATTCCTCCAAAACAGCATTTGAAGCCTAAATTTTGCAATTTTAGTTCGCTACAACTGATTTACAACTGAATTAGAGGAATTGAATCGGTTGAGAAAATATTAAAACTTCGACTAATGAGAAGTACGGCCATGTATTAAAAGTGGAGCAATCTGCAGTAACAGTTTATTGGTTTCCATAGTGATTGCTCTAGTTTGACATTTTTTTGCTCCACTTTTTTATTAGCCACACTCTCATAAATGTCCCAGAGTGTTTTAAGATGAGTGGTGTTTAAAATACTCAATATCCAAGAAGAAATCTCATGCATATTTTATTTGATGAGTTAAATATGAACGTGTCACTGTGATATGGATCAGAATCGCTAATTTTCAAATAACCCAATATCTCTCTCTTCTAGTCTCAGGTCTGCAGTGTTACGGGTGCAATATCATAGCCGGTGCAAAGTATATCGACATGGGCTGCACCAACCCAGAAGTCATCACTTGTTCTCAAACACATAAGGGGTTCAAGCAGAGATTTTGTATTAAAACCGAAAGCGGTAAGTATAACTGGAATAAATGGTCTAATCACTGGCAGTGCTAAGTATTAAAGAGACTTTTAAGGCAACAATTACTGGGTAAGAATGCATTCAACAGGGGCGGGGCCGGACCGCCAAGCAGAGCAGACACATGGCACAACAGCTCCTGCTATTTTCAAGCAATTTGGTCCCAAAAACGCAACTTCTGGCGCTGAGTCACTACAGGCAACTGCACTATGAAGTGCTAGTACTGGGGAGCAGTCAGTGACCCGATTCTGGGCCCCCCTTTTGGGGAGAACACGGAGCTCTAAGACCAAGGCCTAGTCAAGCCTATCCAGGTGGTGAGTAGGGTGGACGGCCGCCGCCCTGCTACCCTGCCTGGCTGCAATATGGGGGTCTCCTAACTTAATGGGGTGATGGCCCTGCTTCCCCCCCTCTGGGCCGGTGGGGGTCATCCCGGCCTACCCTGGGGCTCTAACCCGATTGGAGACTTCACTGTGGAGACATCACTCAAGATGGCGGCTGGGCCCGACCGGCGCGCTATGGAGAAAGAGGCCCCTCCTCGGGGCTCTTGGCGCTCACTGCGGGCTACTCAGGGAGAAATCATTTGAGCAACCTACCTATCCTGAGACCCGACCTGGAGTGCTCCAATCGACACCGAGGACCTTGAGTGGAGATCAGCTGACTGGCAAAGCGGCCCCACAGGTATTTAGGCTGCAAGCTGGCACGGTCCTGTGAAGCCGAGTCACACGCACGATGGCCGCAGACCACTACGAAGACCCCACACATACCCAGCTCCCAACTGCGACCGGCTGATACCACCCGACAAGCGACACCACAGCATCATTATTCGCAGATAGAGCTGAGAAAACACATGACTATGACCTGCCAGTGATGGGAGTTGGCTGCTCTCTGCACAGGAACTGGGGCTGCCTACTCTGTCTCCTGAACAACAATCAGGATCACATCCACCTCTCATCGGGGAGGGGAGTCTCTGTCCGGGGACCCAGGGTTCTTTAACCACGGTGGCATAAATTTTCCTTTTTCTTTTTTAAGCAACACTAACCATGCCATCTTGTCTAGCAAACCTGTCTCTCTCACAAAATCTATTGTAACTATGAGTTCAGTCTTAGCCTGCACTTCCACGTCTCCAGCCTGTCAATTTAACTAATATGGCTAAACAGATTTGAAATTAACCTACTCAGGCAAATATACCTGTACTGCATGTATACAATCTGTTAGCGTCTGACGCAGCACAGTAATGATACATTCAGATAGTGCAGCGATGTTACCTTATGTACCAAGCAAGTCTCAGCTATGTTCAGCTAGCATGTTAATCCCCATAGGCTGCAAGATTAACCAGTTTACTGTGTTACTAAATATTGAGACAGTTAGATCTTCTATGCAACCACGATCCAATGTTTAACCTCTAACATGTTTCCTATCTTGAATATAAAAAAACAAAATTGTGCTATGTATTTCAATGCCATACCTATGTTAATGTATGTTTCCGTACTTGCTTGCACCAGCTATTGTGGCAGTGCAAACATGATTGTTCACGCTATGCACAAATAAAATAAAGAATTTTAAAAAAAAAGAATGCATTCAACAGCTCATCACATAATAAATTTTTTTTAAAAATACAGAAATTGTATCTGAAATAGAATGGATGTGGATAGAGACTTCCATTCGTTCGCAAAAATGCTTTTTAATTATTTATTTTAACTACCGGTAATATATTTTCTATTCTGCATGAATGCGTTTTTTGTTTTTTTATATACAAACCTATGGACACCATACACAGGGCAGTATCACTGCAGATGTAGTAGATATTGTGGATTTGTCGCAAAGTGAGGATATTTTTTTATGTATTATTTAACGCTCTATCTTGAACGCTGAATTGCGTTGGGGTGCATCTCCAACAAAATATCTTTATATCTTCTCTCCACCCTTTATCTCTTTCCACCCTTTGTTCCTTAACCTTTACTGTCCCCATTAGGACTTCAGGATGTAAATACATGCTTTTCCATTTCTCAAAATAATTACAGTGTTTTAATTTCTAGTGGTGTTGGGGATACTTCTAACAAGTGGTTGTGCGACTTCACGCCATTGCCAACAACAGGAGTTGCCCGGAGTTCGGATACATTGCTGTGACACAGATCTTTGTAACAACAGTCCACATCTTGCTCTTCACAGCGTCCTGTACTTCTGTGTCTTCTTCTGGACTATGTATGGTCTCCTGCTTTGAGGACTAATCCACCGGCCCACTTAGCAGACATTGGACTTGTGAATTAAACTGTGACTGCAAAGACATTTACTATGGGCCGCATATCCCAGGTACATTGGACTGATAAATGGGATCTAGGGATATTTAAATGGATGACATCTGCTATTAATACCCTACTTTCCAATAGTGGAGTGAAGACCAACCATATTTAAAAGGACATTGCAAAATATGAACTCTTGTGGAAGACTTTACGCCTATCGAGTCATCAAGTCCCAAAATACTGGTTGTTGTACATTTTTTTTAAATTCATTTTACTCTTTGCTTATTAGACAAACCTCATTCAAGGCTGGGATAGTCTCTTAACCACCATTAAAACCACCTTTATCCAGCTACCTACACATTAGAAATTAAACTCTTTAGCTACGTTAGCGGCTTTGGGAATGTTGGCTACTGAGCTTGATGGGAGTGATTCAAATTTTAACCCATAAGGCACACCAACATTCCACTTTTCCAATTCTGTTCCATTAGAGATACCACGAAGACATGGACATTGTTGTGACTTGAAGACCAGACTGGCACCCATTATAGCTGTTTTTATAATATTGAGGATATTGATCCTGTATATTTTGGCTGCTATGGGAATGTTAGGTAATGTGTTCTCTGGAGGCTGTGAGTATAAATGCTCTGGGGATGTTGGGTAATATACTTCCTACATGTTATCGAGAGATCACATAGTCTATTCTAGTTATGCTATGGAGATGTTGGACAGCGCGGTCCATAGATGTTAAGCAGATGTTGGTTAATAGGATCAACTACTTTGGGAATATTGGATTTTGTATAACATACTTTCTATTGTCATTCCCAAACACCACATTCCTAACTGTAGTGTCCCACTATGTACGGAATTGTTTGTTTGCTCATTCCGTTCGTCTTTGAGACCATCTCATCCATTCTGATTTAGATCCTTTGTAGACATTGTTTAAGAAGTCCCTCAAAACCCATATTTTCAGGATTGCTTATGGCCTCCAAGAGTAACCTTTCTCAAACGTTCCTCTTGCTCTCTCCTAAAGGGCCACACTTCATTCTCACCTCCAGTTCTGCTACTTTCCCACCATGTTTGTTCCCACCGCCTATTGTGTTTTTATACCCCACCTCCTCTAGACTGTAAGCTCGTTTGAGCAGGGTCCTCAACTACCTATAACAATATAATTGCCGCAGACTGCGAAGACTGATATCGAGAGGGTGAGTGAGGTCAACAGGCGTGTATGTGTGTGATTATATCAGCATCATGGACAATATGGCTGCCTGCAAAGGGAACATGTCACATTTTTGCGAATGATCACCCAGAAAAGTAGCCAATCAGGGATGCGCATGCACCAGGTGTCCAAGTGCATTTTGTTATTGTCTCATTTGGTAAATTCCCCTCTTATTGTGAAGCGATGCAAAATAAGCTGGCGCTATATAAATACCAATAATAATAATAATAATGAGCATTCTTCTTCGTAAAACGCCAAAAAGTCAGATTTAATGATAACTGGAAATACTGTCTTTATGAATCAATCACTGAATTCTGAGCAGATTGACTCCATAAAATTGGCTAATTTTCCATTATTTTTCTCATTCTTTTCAGTAGAGCCATTATGTTCTGCCACTTTGAGCTTCCACTAACGTGCCACGTGAAAAACAGAAGGTTTAACTGTGTGTTCCTGTTTATCTGTCTGTTCTATCTGGTTGTCTCTTTGCAATGTGCAGAAATTCCGTGACTGAGTTATTTTTGTTATAGAATTGCTAGTGAAGTAGAAGATAGGTAATTGTCTGCTGTCACGCTAATGGCCGAGTAAAATTACTGCTTTTAATGTAATTGCCCAGCGAAATGGGTTGCCTTTTGTTGAAGTGACCTAGCGGAAGGCTATTTTGTCTAGTTTAACTGACTGAACGAGAGGAAAGTGAGACGTAACACAGCAGTTAAAGTATGAATAGGATTATTGAAAAAAATCAATAATAAAACATTATCCCAACTTACAAAGAAAACTGAGCCCTAAAGTACCTTTTTTTTTCCCCGAAAGCCTACAGCGAATTGTAGCATCATTAGAGAATGTCCTCACTCTGCCACCAGGAGGCACTGCTCTGTCATTGAAGTTAACATCCATGCGTGTTTTAGTGTGGCTCTCTGCTTGCAGTGGAGCTCTGTGTCCACACACCCATTATTACTAATTGACATCTTTTAATGTAGCTAGATATAAAAGCCATATTTTACAAAAACAGCCAGCCTCTCACAGATACATGGATTTTAGGTTGAATGTGTGTGATAAGTGGCTTTCTAAGCAATAAAAAAAAAAAAAGCAAGCTGCTTGTGGAGTTGTATGTTTGTTGGGATGACACCTGTGCGGATGTAATTTGAGGCCTTGAATGTTGCATGTATGTGCGGTGGCCATTGTATTAGGTGTGTGTGGAGAGGGCTGTTTGTGGTGTAATGTGTGTGTGTATGTTGGCCATAGTATGTGTGTGAGGGTAGTTGCTGCAGTGTGTTGGGATAAGGTTAGTATTGTGAGGAAGATGGATAGAGGCTGTAGTGTGTGTGGGGATAGTGGATGTAGTGTGGGGAGCAAGGCCTGTAGTGTGTGTTTAGGGGGATAGGTTGTTTACTGTGTTTGTGTCGTTTTTTTCATTGTCTGTACGTGTGTAAGTTACTGTTCTTGTGTGTGTGTGCAATGTCAGTATATGTGCATGTGTTTGTTCTAGTGTGTATGCAATGTCAGTATGTGTGTATGCTGATGCTCCTGCGTGTGTGCAGTGTCAGTATGTGTGTATGTTGTTGTTCCTGTGTGTGTGCAGTGTCAATACGTGTGTATGTTGTTGTTCTTGTGTGTGTGCAATGTCAGTATGTGTGTATGTTGTTGTTCCTGTGTGTTGAATGTCAGTAGTATGTGTGTATGTTGTTGTTCCTGTGTGTGCAATGTCAGTATTGTGCATGTGGTTGTTCCTATGAGTACAATGTCAATATGTGTGTATGTTGTTCCTGTGTGTGTGCAATGTCATTGTGTGTGTGCAATGTCAGTATGTATGTATGTGGTTGTTCTTATGAGTATTGTCTGTACGTGTTTAAGTTAGTGTTCTTGTGTGTGTTTACAATGTCAGTATATGTGCATGTGTTTGTTCCTGTGTGTATGTAATGTCAGTATGTGTGTATGCTGTTGCTCCTGTGTGTGCAGTGTCAGCATGTGTGTATGTTATTGTTCCTGTGTGTGTAATGTCAGTATATGTGCAAGCGATTGTAACTATGAGTACAATGTCAGTATGTGTGTATGTTGTTCCTGTGTGTGTGCAATGTCAGTATGTGTGTATGTGGTTGTTCCTATGAGTATAATGTCAGTATGTGTGTATGTTGTTGTTCCTGTGTGTGTGTGTGTGTGTGTGTGTGTGTAATGTAAGGGAGATAATACTTTATTGCTGTGGAGCTCTTTGATACACTTATACACTGGACATTACTGATGTTGATGGCGTTATGCTATCTATATGATTAGAAATGACGCAAGGCACAAAAAAGCACAAGAAAAAACCCTTTAAAATACATTTATCCCACAAATATTAGGTAGGGTAAGTACATCAGTATATGATCGTCCAAAAGTAGCAGCATCGCCAAAATGCAATCCACGTGTCATATAACGTGTGTTACCATTAAGTAAAAACATATAGTTAAACAGCTATCACAATAAATCACAACATGCAGAATGTAGACGTCACGTCAATGCAGAACGCTCCAACACAGACTATAAAATGCTTCATGGCACTGGAGAGCAAATAGCCCATAAAATGCAATGCTAGTTTACATAACCATAAGAACAAACAGTACCGATATGATATTGTAATTAGTGCTCTAGCTAAAACACGCACACAGTCTGAATCAAGACAACGTCAATTCTGAATGCTAAGCCTCGGCAATACGTAACACAATTACTACAAGACTAAATACACAAACAAACTAAAGGAAAACGAAACAACGTGAGTTAAAGAAAAGATCAATGGGCACAAATACCCCCCACCCACCAAAAAAAAATTGTGTTTTTATTTTTTGGTGTGAAGCTCTGTGATACACTCGCATTACACACTGCACATTACTGTGAGTATCATTGTTATGGAGCTCTGTGATACACTCGCATACACTGCACATTACTGTCAGTGTCATTGTTATGGAGCTCTGAGATACACTCATACACACTGCACATTACTGTGAGTATCATTGTTATGGAGCTCTGTGATACACTCGCATACACTGCACATTACTGTGAGTGTCATTGTTATGGAGCTCTGAGATACACTCATACACACTGCACATTACTGTGAGTATCATTGTTACGGAGCTCTGTGATACACTCATACACACTGCATATTACTGTGAGTATCATTGTTACGGAGCTCTGTGATACATTCATACACACTACACATTACTGTGAGTGTCATTGTTACGGAGCTCTGAGATATACTCATACACACTGCACATTACTGTGAGTATCATTGTTATGGAGCTCTGTGATACACTCATACACACTGCACATTACTGTGAGTATCATTGTTATGGAGCTCTGTGATACACTCATACACACTGCATATTACTGTGAGTATCATTGTTACGGAGCTCTGTGATACATTCATACACACTGCACATTACTGTGAGTGTCATTGTTACGGAGCTCTGAGATATACTCATACACACTGCACATTACTGTGAGTATCATTGTTATGGAGCTCTGTGATACACTCATACACACTGCACATTACTGTGAGTATCATTGTTATGGAGCTCTGTGATACACTCATACACACTGTACATTACTGTGAGTATCATTGTTATGGAGCTCTGTGATACACTCATACACACTGTACATTACTGTGAGTGTCATTGTTATGGAGCTCTGTGATACACTCATACACACTACACATTACTGTAAGTGTCATTGTTATGGAGCTCTGTGATACATTCATACACACTGTATATTACTGTGAGTATCATTGTTATGGAGCTCTGTGATACATTCATACACACTACACATTACTGTGAGTATCATTGTTATGGAGCTCTGTGATACATTCATACACTCTGCACATTACTGTGAGTATCATTGTTATGGAGCTCTGTGATACATTCATACACACTACACATTACTGTGAGTATCATTGTTATGGAGCTCTGTGATACACTCATACACACTGTACATTACTGTGAGTATCATTGTTACGGAGCTCTGTGATACATTCATACACACTACACATTACTGTGAGTATCATTGTTACGGAGCTCTGTGATACATTCATACACACTACACATTACTGTGAGTATCATTGTTACGGAGCTCTGAGATACACTCATACACACTGCACATCACTGTGAAGCTTTGTGATACGCTCATTGCACATTACTGTATAGTTTACTGTTCTGGAGCTCTGTTATATAGTCTCACAGTAAAAAGCCCAAACTGCTGGAAAAGAGGGAGGTTAGTTTACTATAGAGGGAAGTGAAGGATTTTCTCGTAAAGAGGCACACCTCGTAATTCTTCGGAAAGCGGTACACCTGAGAGATTATGTACATCCAGGCAACCCAAATGTCAGTTCCCCTCGTTCCTCAATGTGCTTATGGTTAGAGCTTGGTAGAGACACCTTTGGTGATGCCTGTACCTGTTTGACAGCTGAACAAAACGGACAAAAGATTACAAACAGACTGCTGAGGACACATATTTTATAATTCCCCTATGGACACGATGTTTCTGTGTGATATGTATCAGACCTGTGCATTTGGCTGCTAACGAATCAGTTTGCCCGAATTTTGTGCAAACGACGAGTCGTCTAAATTCTGCAACTTCCAATCACCGTATGACTAAATCACGATATGAGGGAAGAATGAACCTTTTAATTGGTCTCGTGATTCGGCGTTCCGGCCATGCGCCAAATTAAAAGTTGGAAAAAAGATGATCGATGGCTCGGAGACAACCACCCAACGCTCATTTTATCCACAGGTCAAGTGAGAAGTGGTCATTCAACAGATTGGAAAACAATCTTTATATATTTTATATTTAATGACTATATAGTACATATAAATATAGATTATTTTTATTACTGTTCTTCATTTTGATTACTTCTTTTCACTTGACCTGTGAACAAAATAGTGTGAAAAGTGTACTGCAAAATATATACATGATATTTATGTGTATATTTTGCAGTGCACTGATAGGTGCATTTGGTTCGTCCGTATCATTTTTCCCGAAACAATCGTCAAAATGTATCTGAACCGAAACGCCACGTGAACAAAGCCTAAACCACACGAAACAAAAATGTTTTTTTCGATAAAGCGATTCAGAGGAGCGAAATATTTTTACTGTGGAAGCCCATTATGTATTTCAGCTCATGAGAAAAAAAGTTTAATATTGTTTCAGTCATCAGTAAAGGGAATTTTCCCATGTCCTCTGTAGCCAGCTGTTCATAATGTTTGTAAATGCAAAAAGAGATGGAGGCATCAATCACAAATCCATCAAACATTCACAAGCTGAAGTCCTGCTGTAACGAGTGAATGGCGAGGCTCTGAGCGAGGAATGGGGGGGCCAGCTCAATCACTGTGACGGATGTGTTTACAAACAGCAAGTGACTTATTGTGTTACAAACTATCACACAGGCCAGGTTCATTGAGAAAGCCTCACATACAATCACACACATACAAAAACACAGAAAGACAACCCTGTTTGCTATCTGGGAACTAGTTAAATAATTAATGCTATTCAAATAGCTGATGGTCGGTACAATCACGCAGAGGAATTCTGTCCATAGCGGAGGGCCGGGGAAAGTTTGCAGGGGTTCAACAAACATTCACTTTCGATCAATCATCAATCTGCACATTCACCAAAGTATTTATCTAGCCTCCTACGAGTAGGTACACCTGGAACATTTTAGGCTTTATTTTATACTTTCTTGTTCCCCCTCTCTTTTTGGGTAACCCGTGCTGCTTTTGGAAGCAATATTATTAAAAGTGATGTTTACGGGTTGCGGAGTTGAACCTTTGGAATGTTCAATTCTATCCCTTGAAGTAGTCCATTCTTCAATCCAAGAATATTTCGGTCATGCAAATAAATCGGACTGGCGTGATGCTGGTTGGATCTCAGCAGGCGGTGTTATGCAGTAAGGAACAGCATTTATAAAACTGCTAAATGGGTATATTGGTGACCTATTTACTAAACATGGAACGTTAGCGAATCAAACTCCGAATGGCTAAGTTTGGGTTAAAAAAAGATGACTTTAAATTCTCCAACTCTAGCTATACTATTTTAGCCTTGATTTTGCTATTTCAATTGACGACAGCTCAGAATTTAGTAAATAAACTTATACAGTGTGATTTCTAAATACATTTCAAATTTTTAGCCAAAACGTAGCTAACTTTTTGCAGGCTGGCAATTTTGCTTTAAATTCTTGACTATACCCACTTTAACGAATAAACTCATATGTAGATTTTTTAACTGGTATTTGTAAAATAATGAATAATGCTAATATATTAATCTGCACTCATGCAGTGCATATCATGAAAAGGGTAGATGCGTGTAGTGCCACTACTCTGTCATTAGGTGGCATTGTGTCCTTTGCTACTTTAGCGCTCTCCGCGGCCTTGCATTTTGTTAGTGCATATGGGGCCTGTGACTTCTAAATAGACCCAAGAGCTCTTTGAACTTTTTAACCTTTGCCCTGCGAGTGCTCCTTTAGCCTGAGGGCGGGGAAGGGTCTGATGGTTGTTCTCCAATGCACTTTCCAAACAGTCAGCCACTAAGGCTGTCATATCTTTTCCTCCACTGGATTCTGTTAACACCCAAAGACATTCAAAACAACAGCCTCGCAAGTGATGCAAGGAATTTGATTTATGTCGGAATGTAAAAAAGTGAATTCCTACCTCTCTCTGTCCCGAAGAAAGCACATCAGGGGAGATGTTTAACAGCACTGCTGTGTCAATACACATGCCACCACAAACAAAATGACCGCTTCGGGGAAAAATAAACAAGCAGACTGCACCGCCAAATTTAAATAGTTGACTTTGAAAATGGGCGCCGTTTATTTGTGAATTTTGTTTCAACTTAAAAACTTAAAATATGACTTTTTTTTATTTATTTTTTTTATAGCCGTATTTTATAGCCATAATATATTTTTTATTCCGAGAACATAATGGTTTAGATCTGTCTTAAGAAAGAACAAACAAACAGTAAAGTAAG